CGGGCCTACAACTCGGGCCTTCAGTTGAAGGCCCGAGTTGTAGGCCCGAGTTTGTAGCAGCGACGTCAGACAAGATATGAATGTTTTTTTGAGCTCAAATGAAAGAGCGGCTCGAGAAATGGCGTGCTAGGGCCTTTAAACATGACAAATGTCTTTAAGATGATGTCTGTTTTCAATTGAAAAGCAGAGTTGTGACAACATTCTCTGATTTATTGTCTAGATTTAATTTGAGAAGTAGAAGTTGAGAGTCTACTATCTCATATATCTACGGTAGAAATTACCTTGAATCCACGGGAAAACGTCCCGTATATCCACGGTCAAAGTTACCTTGGAGCGTATGAATAGACACTGCCATAAAACTTCCTGAGAATTCTAGAAATTTAGTGAGTTTTAGAAAGATACAAAGAACGGTTTCTTATATTCGAGGTAATCCCAAAAGAAAGTTTGAAGAAATGCGGCGATTTTCTAAAGAATGAAGACCATAGACGTATCTACGTAAAATTACGGTTGTAATTAAAAAAAAAAATTTTAAACTTGTTATTGAATGATTCACTGACCTAGCTTCTAGGCTGATTCCTCCGAACAATTTTATTTTCCTTCGAACAAACGCATTAACAATCCGTTAAGTACAGTAACAATTCTCATTCCTCCAAGACTGAACCACGTGCGACACTTGGAATGATCCGACAGGTTATGTATTTATGTTTATTTGTGTCGTCACATGAACGGACAATTCGCAGTTTTAATTTACCTCGTTTTACCACTTGATTTTTCATCGGTGATTGAGAAATCTGCTTGAACAGCAGGGGATACACTACTGCTGCAATAGATGGCGTAACCGTTCCCAAACAGTCGTGTCAGAACGTTGTGTTTACAATCGTCTCATGCATATATCATTATTCATTATTTATAAGTGACGAAATTAGTCGAAAAACATGGGACGAAGTCGATCATCCTCGCCTCGACGTAGAGACAGATCCAGAGATCGTTCGCGAGATCGAGAGCGTGATAGGGACCGACGGAGAAGACGCTCGAGGGAAAGACGAAGAAGGTAACCTCAACAACTCTTCATTTTCATCACTACTTAACTAAACGTCAACTTGTATATTTAACTTAGGATAAATTACTTTGAACTGACGATTATCCTTTTTAGATCGGTCGATAGAGATCGAGGGAAATCAAGGGATCACGAGAGAAATAGGGAGAGGGAGAGGCACAGAAGATCATACTCACGATCCAGGTCGAGGTCCAGGGACAGGGATCGCCCAAAACCGAAACATAAACCAGCCACTGCGGAGAGGCCTGAATTGACAGGTTTCTGCCACCCTCAGCTATTTTTCAATTGATAGAATTACAAATTTACCGAAGAAGGGGGGAACAAATCATCTCAGTGCAAAGAGAATTTTCTATTTCTCCAGTCAGAAAAAATGATCGTAAACGCAAAATTACAAACATTCAAAATTAAATAATAATAAAATATATTATTGTATATATTATTAGATATATATTAGATGTTTCGATTCATTTCGCATTTTATAAATGATCTAATGTCATTTCGATCATTATTTGGTAATGTCATTGCTTCGCGTTATTTTTCCATCTAGAGGAGTCTTTCTATGTTTCAAATATCAATTTATTTAATTCATTTAGGGAGATATCAATCGCAAATAGTTAAAAAAATTTAATTAATCAGTTTGGAATTTTTATTTAATGGAAATGTTTAATAGAAATTACTTCAGAGAAAAAAATCAATAGAATTTAATGAAAAATATTTTTCAAATCCATTTTCAGAGGCTGATCTACAGGGAAAAACTCCAGAAGAGCAAGAGATGATGAAATTGATGGGATTCTGTGGATTCGACACGACAAAAGGAAAAAAAGTTGATGGCAATGATGTTGGAGGAGTTCATGTCATCTTAAAACGAAAATACAGACAGTACATGAATCGGAAGGGTGGATTCAACCGTCCACTCGACTTCGTTGCCTAAACTTTTTTATTTGAAATACGTAAGAAAAATATATTCAACATTGTTTCGCAATAAAGTCTACCAATATTTAAGGACTTTTTTTGTAAATATTTAAGGACTGACTTCGCGTTTTGGTTTCTTCGGGGGCGGCGCATAGTTCTCTTCCGGGACACTGGAGTCATCGTCTGGTAGATCAAGGTGATCCTGGGTCTCGTTATGTCTCGTTGTGTTCTGAGTCATTGTGATCATCTGAACAGAAATTAACATTTCATGGTAAAAAAATAAATGAGAAAAATTGAATTCAATGTGAGGATTTTTTCTTCTCTTTAAGAAGAAAAACATTATTATTTTATTCATTTTTACCTGACTAGGATCCAGTCTCTCCAGTCCCTCCACCAACTGTGGATGTTTAATCCTGAAATCTCTTGTGATGCTGTGTTTAATGTAACTCTCCAGGGGCACCTGAAACCATAGAAAATTCGTCAATTTCTTGAAGAGAAAATGAATTCATAAAATTATTCAGAGATCGCGCTATATTAGTGAGTTCTATTTTTCTTTTGGATGGATATTAGTATTTTATGAAGCAAATGACCGAGAGTACCGGCCGGAGTAAATCTATTTAGAAGAAAAAAATGAATTATTTCCATCTATTCAGGCTCTGCACACAAAGAATCACAGACAAAAAAAAATGATAATCTCACCCGAGTCTTCTTCCCAAGTGCCAAGATCTCCTTGTTGAACTGCTCAATCTCGTAAACAACTTTGGGAATAAACTTGGTCTCCTTCAAGACCTTATTCTTCTGAGCATGAGCATCAGCCTTCCTCCCACTGTTCTGCTTCTCCTCAGTGTGCGTCACCAAATTATAGAAACTAGCTTTCAGTGGCTTCCCAGCCAGCTGCACCACCTGAATGAACTTCACCGCCTCAAACGCCGGATTCTGCTGCGTCGATTTGCTACTGAAGTACTTGGTCAAGTTGTTCAGAACCCCATAAAGTTGATGAAGATTCTTAAACGTCAAGTCAGTATTGGGCCCTGGATCGACATTGGCATTAGCCAGAGTGTGAAGCGTCTGAATGACGTATGACAACTGCCTGCAGAGGCTCTTCTCCTTCTCCTTCAACTTCTCCCTGAAGTTCTCATCGCCAATTCCAGGGGAGCTTGCCACCACCTGTTCAGCCTTCAGCCTCCCCAACACCCAAGATGCATTCGTCAACTTGTTCTTCAACGAATTATTAAAAATACTGTGCGCCTGTGTCATGGAGGCCTCCGTCAGAATACTGTAGCTCTCCTTCACAGTGATGTCATTATCGTCAATGTTCCCCAGTTTCTTGCACAGATCCACACACATCTCATCCAGAATCTTCCCATAATCGACCTCACGATCCTCGATAATCGTGATCAACTGCAGAATAATCAGGGCAATCTGTGTGTCAACATTTTCAGCCTTCGACATTTTCTTGAGCCACTGGAAGGTACTTCCAAAGCTGCCAGCAGATACTCCAACTTTATTCAACAGCAGAGCCACTGTCTCCACCAGGATAAGTGGAATTTTATTCGTCACTCCCTCGTTATCCTCCTCATAATAGCTGTCAATCAGAACTTGTAACGAACAGACCAAAGTATTGAACTGGGCACTGAGCCCCTCTGACGGCGATGGGGCGCACATTTCCCCCAGGAACTTGGAGAGATCTGCATTGAACAGTGTGCACATGACATCGCAGTACTCTTTGAAGGCCTCCAGCCCTAGGACAGCAGTCTCCTCGTCGAACTCTCGAACCCTGTCCAAATCGCAAACGATATTTTTGTACAGCAGCTCTCCAATCTTGAGGTAATCCTTCTCATGGGTGTCCCGATGCTTCAGACGTTCGACGTTCCTCAGGGCCTTTGCACTCTGGAATATCTGGATACAAGTGTGAAGACAGTAGTTGTGGAAGTCAGGTCGTTTCTTCAGGTGATTCGCCTGTTCTCTAGTCGCCCAGGGAACATTAGGATCGTGTAGCAACGAAAGCATCTTGTAGATGATCTCGATGTTGAGGATGGTTGGAGGGAGTTTAATGCCCCCTTTGGGCCCCCTCTTGATCGTCGTGTCGTGATCCTTATCCTTCTTCCCCTTGTCCTTCTTCTGCTTAGCTGGCTTGTTGACGGACTTGCAGAACTCTAGGATTTCGTTGTAGGACTTGAAGAGATTGTAGACGTTCTGGGCAACAGTCTCATTGTCCGAGGACCAGCTGCCGAATCGGTAAGCTATCAGGGCCTCCAAGCAGGTGACAGAGAGCTTGATGGAGTTGACTCTCTGTTGAGACTTGGGGATATTATCCAGGAGATCCGGCCTGTCGTCGACCTGAAGATCATCCAGAGCTGAGGGGATCATCCTCTTGCACAAGGATTCGAGGACGTTGCTCAGTCTGTCGAGGGACTCCAGGTTCTTGTTGGCGACTTTGCAGTAGATTTGTTGAAGAGAGAAGATCAGGTGTCCCATTGGCTCCTGCAGGAGGGCTTCGGGTCCTGCGATGCTGGAGCAGTCCTCCAACTTCATCGGGGGCTTTATCGCGTCGTCAGACTCGTAGAAGTCTATGAAGTGGGTGAGAAGGAGGTCGATGGCTGCCTCTGCGAGCTCTGAATTCGCTGCGACCGCCTCGTGGAGACCCTTGTACAGATGCTGGCGAACTTCAGCCTCGTGGGAGAAGCATTTTGTCAGGATTATTAGGATTTCCTGGCAGAAGGCGCTGTGACTGCGAGAGTTCTTGCCTTGACTGCCTCGCTCCATCGTGGCTTGCGTGAAGATCGAGGAGTTGGAGCCGTTGGTCATGCTCGAGGAGGACTGGCTCAGGCTGAAGGGGGCGATCTTCAGGTTGCTGAGGAATTGCAGGAATCCGGTCACTGCCATTTTTCGGGTCTCAACGCCCTTTCGGTAGAGGGCCTTGCGCAGAATGAGGACGAGGGAGTCGCGAATTGCGGAGGACGTGCGGATCAGGGGAACTGTTGCGTAGAGAACCTGGATTGCTGCTTCCCCGGGAATTGCCAGCAGCTGCTCCAGAAGATTTGAGACCGGTATTTGGGATTGGTTGACCATGAAGGTGGCTCTGCGACACATGTATGCCAGGCATTCTGGGTGAATGGGGAGGAAATCATTCGTTTCAAATTTCAAGTTCACGATCTTAAGGATGGGCAAGTACTTTGGCTATTTTTTCTGCAGTAAAATGCTTTTATACTCTTGTAATTGAACATCGGAGCTTTCATTCGAACCCCATTTGACCCTGAGTTTCCGGACATTTTACAATGGTTTGATTATCAAACCGTCAAAAAACATTCTACAAATCTACAAAAAAAAAGATAAAGTTTACTTTTTGAGAAAGATTGATGAAATAATTTAAGAAGTACCATTTTTGAAAATTACAAGCTTTCTCTATAAATAATTTATAAACAATCAATTTTCCCCCATAAAAATAATTTGTTCGGAATCGTAAATTCGCAAATTCATTCATATCCAGATTTTTATCAGAAGTCGATCTCATACCTAAAAAAAAAGGTTTCTCGAAAGTTTAATCAATTTTAGTTATTTATTTGCAACCAATGAATGTTTAAAAAAAATTATAATTCTTTGTAAAATGTAATTTGAATATTCCTGATTTTTTAAAAAAATTTCGTCACGTAATTTCATTCACCAATTTGATGATTGAAAAATGGTTGAATCTATAGTGTTGTCCAAGATACTTGGATATCCTTGATGTGTAATTGTTTGAGTGAAATACGATTGGAGCAATTGCTTCAGTTTATAAGGAGAGTTATCCACACCACTGAATACATTGGAATCGCCTTGTGGTTAAACCAGCAAATTTAATCTGAATGAAGTAGCAATAAACTCACCAATATAATGCGAGATAGCAATTCCCCCAGCGACAATCTTATCCGTGAGATTCTGCAGTACAATAGGCACAATTTCATGTCTCTTCTTCATCAACTTCTGCAGGATCTTCACCCCCACGTCATGCAGCAGGTTCTCCTCCCCATCCTTAGCCTTGCCAGTGTCCATAAGCACAAAAGCAAGATCCAGGAGTCCCTTGAGTACCAAATGCCTGTCCTTATTGCTGTTCTCAATGATCTGGCTCATGATATCCATGACGACCGAACTATCAGGGAGTACATCCTTCACCCAGAAGGAGTTCTTCCTGCGCTCATCGTCCTGGATCTTCCTCACCAACGCCTGCTTGACGATCTCGAAGATCTGATCATTATAGATATCCGAAATCATGAGCAGAACCGACATCGGGAAGGGCTCCAGGATGAACTCAGGAGCATTTGTCACGTTCTTAAGGTTCTTGACAAAGTCCTTCAGACTCGAGTGGTTTAGCAGAGCGGACTGACGAATATGATAGAGAACTGTGCTCTCAGTGTCCTGGATCTCCCTCAGACTGACCTGCCCAATGCTCTCGACAGTGTCTGGTGACTCCTCGTCAACACCAGCGTACAACCTCTCGAAATACTTCTGCAACGTCCCAATAACCAGTCTTCCGTCCATATTGTCACTGAGTCTGAGCACCTGGTGGACAAACGGTGGCATCTCCTTGTGGTCCACGTCGGACATTTTATCACACAAGGCTCTTATCACTAAACCGTGATCGTTCTTGTCCATTCTCATCTCGCCGAACATTTTCGCGAGGGACGTCAGGGTCCCCAGGTCCCATGGCTGATTGCAGATGGACTGAATAATCAGGGATTTGTACTCTGAACCTGTCACCTCGTTTCCCTTGTAATTTATGTACTTCTCGTCCTCGAGGATTTGCAAGGTGATGGGGAGGATCTCTCTCCAGCAGAAGAACTCGTCGTCGTTGAGGCGAAGGCTGTTGAGGCTGTACTCGACGATTTTTGAGAGCTGGAGCTTCGAGTACTTCGGGAAGTCCTGGATTATTCGGCTCAGCAAGGCGTTCACGTGGGAGGTACTCACTTTTGCCGTTCGCAGGGTCTTTAGGATTGCTTCTACGAGCTTTCTGTGCTTTGATTGGGAGGCCTCGGAGGTGGAGAAGTGAGATAATAGTTGGTCGAGAATGGTTGGGGCATCGCTGTTGGCGACTCTTGGGAGGATTATACTGCTGAGCTGAAATTTCAGGAAATAGGGGGATGCCGTGAGGTGAGTTGAACAACTTTTCGAAGATATTGGACAGAGAAATCTGTTTTTTATTAAGGGAATACGTCGGCGAAATTTAAAAGTCTTCACTGGGCGTTGGGACCCATTGAATAGTCTGTGATATATGACGGAATATGGGAATAACTAGGGAAAACGGCGGACCCGATCGATTTTGCCCCGTACAACCAGAAAAAAATTCATTTTTTGGTGTTTTTACGATTTTAGCTTTTTTTAAACGTTTGTTACACTCCCAAGAATAAAGTTACGCGTCCGTTTTACTTCATTCGCAGTAGATCATAAATAAATGAATTTTGAATTTCATAAATTTTGCGGGTCTAAGCGTGTTATCACCCGTCTTAGCGATTTTTTAAGGGATGGACTCTGGTTATCGACGAGAAATGTTCTTCTCTATTTAATTATTCAATTATCCTAGAAGTGCTGACAACCGCTTAGGCCAATTAACGTCGTCATAATTCAATATGAAACATTTCAACGGTCAGAGAATCTCATGCGAATATAATTGTTACATTATTATTACAATTGTGATGTCTTCTCCATTCAATCGCTCAACATTTAATTCAATTTTTTTTATTCAATTAAGTTCCAATAGGTTGTAATTAATCAGTTGTGATAAAAATTGCTAAAATATTGTTCTCCACCAGCAGAAGAAAAAATAAATTCTGTCACTGATCAATGCAATACCCGGGCCATTGTTAACCTCAAAATTCAAGCTATTGCGCGTGATTATGACGAATTTACTCACCTCCGCAGTGTCTGCTTTTTCAATAAGATTCTTCAGTTCTTCTGTCTTCTTTGTATTGACAAACTCTTTAAATTGCGAATACATTTTTGAGAATTTTAAATTGCAACTGGAGACGTTCAAGTTTGTAAACAAGTTGTGCCGGCATCTGCTTGTTGTGCTGCTCCGTTTTTACTGCAGCGCAGCAGCAGGTGCGGGGGGAGGGGTGACTGGAGTAATTTGAATGCCACTGGAGCTATTCGTAATTAATTAATTATCAAAAAATTACCTCAAACTCGAAAAAATCGTACGAAAAAATTTCATAGAAAAACTTGATGAAATCGTTTGAAAATTTAATTAAATTTATAGTGAAAACATCGTGAAGAATTGAAAAACTCAGTAAAATAAAAAAATCCGAATGCCCATGACTGTCGAGCACAAGTTAATTTATCGAGAATATTCATAATTCTGAACAATGAGTATTTGCATCATATTACGCCCCCGACTCCGTGCGGAAAAATCCGTTGCTTTTTGTAGCTCATTTGTGAAGGAGGCGTCGAACAAAAGAGGATAAAAGGCTTACGTAGGCCGGGGCAAAAATAGGGAGGGAATATTCATTCAACTAGGTGCAGTAGCACCTCATCACTTGAAAGCCCTTTCGTTAAAGTAGCGCGACCCTCAGTTTCGGTGACAGATTCTCCGGGAAAAATGTGGGAATTTTGTGGAAAGGCATGTGAAACTGCAAAAAATTATTATTGACGTCACATACAATAATGACGACCTCTTTTAGGTAACGAGACCGAACGTGCGCTACAGCGCGCTGTAATTGTAACAATCATAATTCAGTAGCGAAGTGGTAAAACCAGTTTTCAATGAATATCTCGGAATCTAAGGGAGATAGCAAAATTGTTGTTATAACCTTTTTTGTAGAGCCGATTGAGTGCTACAACAAATGTGATTACCAAAATTTCGCTATCTCCCTTACATTCGGAAATATCGCTCAAAAACTCAACTGGGAGATAAGTCGACTTAAACCGGTTTACCACTTCGGTGCTGAAAATCTCAAAATTAAATTAATCATGAATTAAATTTGGCGCCTCAGACGACTGGAACCAATGAGGAATAAGCGTGACAGACTTGCGAGATATCGAGAGTTATCGACTTTAAGTGTATGTTCTCTTTAAAGTAGGATTTCATGTTCAAAAATTTTTTTTTGGGTGAAAATCGCAAAAAATGTCCATTTTACCCTTCTACTACCCTCAAGTACGAAGTATACTGCGAATATGTAAACCATATTGCGTTTATTATTCCCATACCATTTATCGCTCTTGTAATTGGCTTCGGCTGTCTTGACTTGAATCATCAAATAGAATAAAATGAATGAAAAAATTCAGGAAATTTTCGGGTCTTCTCGAAAGTTTTATGTAACGCTGGGGGAATCTAGTTTATTAGTATTTCCCAACTACGTAAAAGCTAGATGAATTTTATGCCAATGATTATCGATGGAATTAATGAACCATTTTCATTTGTTCACCACTAATGCTTTGTGAACCGAAGAGTTGATGAATATAACGCAAACTTTTGGAATCACGTTGCAGTGCCATGTGCACATGGGGCTGCAAGCTCCCTGCAGGGTGTGTTTACATGCTTAAACACCATATAATTCTAGGGATGAGTGAATGTTCATGGTTGCAAGTAAGGCCTTTGAATCACTTTGAGGTATTTAACGAGTAAATTGTTTCTGTGCACCACAATTTACCCCAGAGAGGCTCTATTTCCAACTCCAGTTGAGGGTAATCCTTGAATTATTCCAGTAGACTCTAGTGACTAGAGAAAGAGAATGAAAAGGCGGGAGCTTTGTGGGGAAATTACAGTGGTTTCATTTCTGAGAAGGAATCAGTCAGTTGACCCAGATGAGTGTTGGAAGTGCAACGTGTGCATTTTCAAAATTCAATTCATTTTTCACCGATTCTGTTCAAAAATTTCCCGGAAAACTACATTTTACGATACACGAAAAATATATTTAAGGATATCCAAGTACTTTAGCTATTTTTCCGTGAGTCAAATGCTTTTCTACTTTTGTAGTCAACCACCAGAGCTTTTCAGAGTTCCCGAACATTTTACAATGGTTTTGTATTATTTAAATTTTCCAGTGCCTTAATTTGCAATCTTTGACAATTACGAGCATTTTATATAAATAATTTATAAACAACCAATTTTCCACTATAAAAATAATTTATTCGGATTCATAACAAATTTATGCAGATTCAGAATTTTAGCAGAAATCGATTTGAGGCCTAAAAAAATTGGGTTTCCGAAAGTTTAAACAATTTTAATTATTTATTCATAAACAACGAATGTAAAAAAATTACAATTCTGTGCAGAATGAAATTTGAATGACGCTGAATATTCATAATTTTTTTCACGCAATTCAATTCACAAATTTAATGATTAAAAATATAAAAGATATTTGGATATCCTTAAACATATTATACTTTTCAAACAATATTCATGTGATAATATAAAAAAATATTGTTGACAGGGGCCATCACTTGATTAAGGAAACAAATCAATGCGATGAATCTAGGAAGAATATTTATTTATTTATTTTCAATTTTTTCTCATCATATTTGATAGCTAAGCTATGCAGCGAAAAACGGCGACAAAAAACATTACACGCATTTCTTTACGGGATTTCTTTTCTCCGAATGTTGTTGGGCTGCTCACCGCGTAGCGCGTACCGAAATTTCCGGTGTCGGCACTGGGACCTCTGAAATAACCCCATATTATTCCACCATTTTTCCCCCATATGAGTCTTCAATTTTTCAAGCTCATGTTATTTCCTTTAATTTCCCACTCCCGACATTCATCGCTAATGTTACATTTCTGGTTTGTCGTCTTGTGCTCCATTTATCTGTTCAAAAATTATGGAGAATGTCGGAGCAGTCCAAGAATAGACCACTGTGGATATTCACAAACCGATGGATTTCAAATGCAGCTTCCTCGCATCTGCAAACTGTTTACAAACGGATATCGAGCTATGAATACAGAACACAATACCTCTGAAGATGCTTTTACATCATTATCATTAGTCTCATTGTCATAGATGACTGTTTCTATCTTTGTTAAATTTATTAACGAAAAGTCCATGTCTTCACGTGCGAAAATATTTCGAGTTCATCTTAGCCTGAAAAATTTCTTTCTTAAGATCTTTTTCTATCTTAATTCTTGAAAAAAGATTAATTCCTAACAAACTAAGTAAATGAATGCATAATGATAATAATGATAAATGAAACTATTTTTTTTTCATTTTTATTAATGAATTTTTATTCATGTATTTGTTGCGAGATTCAAATTTTCTCTCAAATCGGGACACAAAAAAAACAACTCGTTTTTTAATGAATAAATAAATACATAATGATTATAAATAATATGCATAAACCTTAATTCGCTAGAAAATTACAGTCCATCGTTAGTCGATTGAAATTCGGTCAATTATCATTTATTGGGCGGTAATAAATCCTATTCAAATTGAGAATGAAGAGGGAACGTGATTGCTTCAATGAAACTCTCAAGTATACGATAACGCATTATCGATTGTGATAATGTTTGGCATAAAACCACACATGTTTGCCACCCTCATGCGACACTCTTGAGTAACGAAGGGACTCAACCAATGCTTGCTCAATTGAGTACCGGTGAGGGGACAGAGAGCGAGAGAGAGAGAGGGGAGGGAGAAAGTGGTTTTGTCAACAGACGCGTGACGCACACCGCGATACTGGGACATCCACCGTGCAAACAGAAAATCTCGTTGTTAATGCTTTAGTCAATGTCAAGCACTTGACGAATTTCATCAGGTACCGGCACTTCGTGAAGCATTGTTAACGGAATAATGGGAGGTACAGTGTTTTATTTCGTTTGGATCGGGGTGCGTAAATTGTAGGGGCAAGACAAAAGTCTGAACTCCGAAAATTCGGCTATTGTTTTTGAGGACGCGCGGTTGATAAGGGAGAGGAAATTCGGATTTTTTGCGCGTCTCGGGACGGGATTGGGAGGACAACTTGAGGAGAATTGAGAATAAGTGAGCGACTGACTATTTTTTGTTGTTTGATAGTGAAAAAATTAATTGATTTCAATTCTTTCCATTTCCCAGATTTGGATAATTGCCCTCGGTTTCTTAAGAAATTCTAGGAAAATATAGTTTTATTACATTCTAGGAAAGTTCCAATGGCACTTATCATTTATCTTTGTCATTGATTGAATTTTTTTTCCGTGAATCATCCATTTTTAAAACGCATTTATGAGACTATGAAATTTAATAAATTTGGAATTTTAAGGGCGTCCATGTACTTTGGCTATTTTTTCTCCAGTGAAATTCTTTTCTTCTTTTGCAGTTGGATATAAAAGCTTTCATTTGAGCCCCATTTGACTCTAAGTTTCCGGACATTTTACATTGATTTTATTATTTAAACTTCGCAGGTCTGCATTTGAATGTTGATATTAAATCGTTAGAAAAGATTTTTATAATCTGAAAAAAATTAGAAATGTTACTTTTAGAGGAAGATTGATTAAATGATTACAAAATTGCATTTTTCGAAAATTACAAGCATTTAATGAAAATAATTTATGAACAATCAATTTTTTACATCATTCTATAAATAATTTATAAACAATCATTTTTATTCATATAAAAAATGTTTCTGAAAACTTAAACAATTTCAATTATTTATTTATAGACAACGAATGTTGAAAAAAATAATAATTGCAAATTTGATAATTCAAAATAGTTGAATCTACAGTCTACTAATCTATAGAAATTTATTATTAAATTCTAGGAAAATTTTAATATAATTTTTCACTTATCATTCATCTTTACCATTTATTGAACTAATTAATTTATTTCTCTGGATATCCCCTTTTTATAATTCACTTATTAAATTTAATAAATCAGGAAATTTTAATTATGACCTCATGAAATTTAATAATTTTGAAATTTCAATGGAGAACAGGAAGCATCTCCCAAGTAAAAGAGGTAGATCACCGTCCGCCATAGAGTAGAGTATCGCAGCAACTAATCAGTCACAACGATGATTTATTCATTAATTTACCGGGTGCTAAAGAGAAAAAAAGTGGAAATATTAAAATTTTTATGTCAGTCTACTGGTGACAGTGTCCACATAAAACAATTTATTCATCTACTTTCTTCACGTTAACCCGTAAATTCATCTGCGGGGGTGGGGTGCACAGTGTTATTAGTCCTGCCTCCCCCACCCCCACAAGCGCACAAGTCGCCCTTTGATTGGTCAGGTGCTTTGGTGACGTAACGAGCGTTGCCGGTCCTATGTACAGGTAGAAGCACGCGGAGCTTCAGTCTGATCCTGTCTGTCGGACTAGACTTGTACACGCACTACTTGCGAGTCGAAAGGGCGCTGAGACATTCAAATATCGAAAGCCTCTAGTATTTTATCAAATTGTTGAATTGCAGGAAAAATCAGAATTCCGTGAAATAAATTCTCTTTATTTTTGTTCGGGAAAAATTTCTCACTTGAGAAAGAAAAATCCATTTTTTCTCGAGTGTCAACAGGATTTCGAGCGGACTCCGGTGATTTCTTCAGGCTGTGTAAGGTAATATGACAAAAAAAAATATTTTGAAATTTTTTCATTCAAGTGAATGTTCTCATGGAAAATTAATTTAAATTTTTTTATACAAATTTGAGTGAATTTCTGTCTTATTCATTTCAATTTGTCAGGATTCATAATGAATATTTGAGAAATTTACTGTTAATTATATATTTTACATAATTAAACGGAAATTGACTGAAATATTTGGGATGGCGCACGTGATAGACGGTTGATTATTATTATTTTTTTGTGAAAAAATCAGAGGTTATTCGTCTTCTATGATTGGTAATTATGTACACAATCAGACGATTTCTCCCGGAAAGGTGGTCCTTCACACGTAAATTGTATTGATTCAATAGAAATGGGGTGATTTCGGAGGGTAACACTCGAGTCTTTGATTTGATCTAACCCCACCCCAATCCAACTCGCACGTGTATTTCCCTCGGAAATTTATCGACACGGATGGTGATCTATAGCCTCCCCCGAAAATTCAATGACCGCTTGGATATTGTACGTCAATCGTGCATTCCAAGACAATACCGACCAAAAATTAGTCCTGATGGATTTCTGGAAAAAATTGCTAAATTACTTAATTTATTGCATTCTCATTAGTTATTGATTTTTTACGTCCTTATATGTTGTTGATGAAGGCAACAGTAACTGTTGGAATCAAATAAGAAATTATTCCACGAAATTTCAATTTTTTAGAGCTGAATATCGCAGAAACTATGAACTATTCAATTTTACAAAAAATTCACTGTATTCGGGATTTATCAATCCACCGCGAATTCATTTTTTAAGAACATCGTACGAACCGTTTTCGCATAAGACGGAAAAATCTAGTCCGGGGGACCCATAATTCCCGTTTGGCCGGTGTCTCGCGTGATAGAAGCCCACATTTCATCATTTATTATCTCGTAAACTGTATATTACAGCTAGTTAGAATTTTTTCAAGAGTTGGGGAATATTATAAATATTATTCACGACAAACATGGGGCAATCATAGGAAAAATCTGTTCTCTAGGGATATACCTTAACCTGTTTTGCTATTATTATTTTTTTAAACACTCGTTGTTAACACTTTCATAAAATTATTTCATTAATCTTCCTCCAAAAGTAAACTTTCTAATTTTTTCAAATTGTTAAAATGTTTTCCAACGGTTCAATATCGACATGCAAATTCAAACATGCAAAAATAATAAGTAAATTATCATAATAATCAAGAGGGGGCTCAAATGAAAGCTCTGATGTTCGACTACAAAAGCAGAAAAACATTTCACCGGAGAAAAAATGGACAAACTACACTTCTTCGATCTCTAGCTAATACAAGAAATTAATTAACTAAAATGTTTTTCATCAACAATTGATCGGCGAAATCGGAGTAAAATTTCCTGCTCTATTTATCCGGATAATTCGATATACCTGAAACCGTTTTACCGCTTCGCTACTGAATTACATCCAACAAAGTGATTCACGAATATGAATATTTCACCAGACACTTTCAATTCATTCAGCGATGACGAGTATAATGAAAGTTGAGAAGTGTAGTTACAAACCGCTATTACCATAGTGAGGAATTTCATATTGAATGAGAGTTCTGGTTATGGGCTGGCTTTTAAAATCTGGATGAGAGGTTTTCGTGGTGAGCAACAGGCTACGGTAACTATAGCCCACCGAAACTGATCGATGAGGCGGCTCTCGGCTCTCGCGGCCCTCGATTTTACTCTTCAAGCCAATCAAGCGGTAATTCTAAAATAACAGGAGCATTTAGCCTCTATTAAACTCAACTAACTATTATGAAAGGATTTAATAACTTCGATGGTAATCAGCTAAAATTTCAGGGCAATTTGCGGCGCGTTGACATGAAGAGAAAAAACTGTTCCAAATTATTCCTGAATTTCAAGAATTATATTGCGTATTGCCTTTCAAGATTTTCATCGGAACTGTTCATTAAATTTCAGTGCTTTCCTAACAACATACATATTTAAAGAAATTTATCTTAAAATAATTAATATAAACTAATTTCTATTGAAAGCTGAAAAAAAATTCAATTTTCAATTGACTATTAAATAATTGGTTCTAAATTCCACAATTTAATCTTTCGATCAATCAAATAATCACGAAAAATTTGATTGATGCTTAATTAAATGAAAATTAAAAAATTGAACAACACAGTTAACTGTCTTCGTACGTTACGAAATAATTTTAACTCTGATATATATTTATATCAGACCTCACCTCGACATTCTTCCCGGCACAGCCTTAATCGAGAAGCACTTCAATTTAAATTCTCCGTAATTAATAATTACTTCTCCCTTCCGTCATTAAAAAAACGATTAGCAATAATTACAAAACCCTAGAGCGCAAATGCCGAGATTCCCTTTGATCATTGCAGAGTGCCCTCTCTCGCATGTCGTAGATAAAAGAAATTGCTCTTTCCATTTTTCTTCCCTCCGACGGGAAAATAAAAAATGCCCAGGGGCGAGGGGGGGGGGAGGAATGCAACCCTCTGTGTCGTCACATTCGCGTGTCACCCTCAGGTATATCTGGGCGACGTGACGTCAGTTATGTCGCATATTCTCGAGACCCGCATTTTATGCCGATTGGAGTGAATTCACACTGCAGGTGCTATTGTCTCTACCCTCGGCTCGTTTCTTTTGATATAAAAAAAGTGCATGTGACTATCCACCTTTTTCCGTTGGAATTCAAATCGGTCAGGTTGAGCGATCAATTTACATGGAGAATAGGCGTTACGGGAGAATTGATTACACCTGAGGGATTTTCTTTTTCTTCGGGGCGGTTTAAGGAGGCAGTCAATGCAAGAGGACGAGGTCGTTTCTTTCATTTTCTCCGCGTGGAATTATGGGTTTAATGTTTTAGAGGGGAACAAATTTGTGTGGACGAATGGAATGCAAATTCTCGGAGACAATCTTAAAAATTTTCCACTGAATTTTCAAGGAATTTGGCCATTGAAAATTCATAATTTTACGGAGAAATCCGCGGGAATTGTAAACTTCAGTTTCATTATTTTAAAAAAATGATGAAAAATTATGAAAGTTCAGCGAAATCGCTCCTTAAATTCCAAATTCCAAGAATTTTAAAAGAACTGCCTGAAAATTCAAGGGAATTTGACAGTGAATATTCATCTTCACTTGAAAATTCATGTAAATTATGAAATTTTCGGCTGAAATTCCATTGACTTTTTCCCCTTAAATCGAATTCAATTTTTTTTTCCGGAAAATTCAGCCAATTATTCAACTCCCGCAGGAATAATTCATTCAATTAGCTCCAGTCGTCCTGTTTTCTTCTTCGATCTCCAGCGAATTATAAAAAATCAATTAACTAAGATATTTTTCATCAACAACTGATCACCAAAATCGGGGGAAAATTTATTGCTCTATTTATCCTGATAATTTGCCTGATTACACAGGTTATTCATGTCGATGAATGGTTCACTCCAATCATCATTAACGTCAATCGAATTTATTAGATTTTTTTTGTTGACCGAGGGGAGCGAGAAATGGCTGTAAAATGCGACATCACTTGAGTTACCAACCGGCCGTCTTTTAATAGTCGTTATACCTTGTTATTCGTGTCAAGTGCCCTTTGAGGATACTCCCGAGAAGTTTGCAATATCCTTTATCACTCAGCAATGTTTATTCTCCGGCACTCCTTCGTTATATTTTTCTTTGCATTTCTGCATCACGTGGCTCTCAACAGGCTGAGGCTAATTCTGCTTCTTTATTTTCGCGAGAATAATTAGAAGACATTTCATGTCATGAATTTTTGTCATGATTATTCGCTTCTTTAATTTCTCATAAAGACTAATAAAGACTGGTGAATTATTTGAGTTGTTCAGTGTGAAAAATAGGTCTTTTAATGTCGTCTGGATTTAAAAGTGTTCCGACGCCTTAAGGATATCCAAGTACTTTAGCTATTTTTTCTCCAGTGAAATGCTTCTCTAATTTTGTAGTCGAATATGAGAGCTTTGACCATATGTTTCCGTGCATTTTACAATGATTTTATTATTTAAACTTTGCAGGTCTGAATTTAAATATCGATATTGAACCGTTAGGAAACATTTTAAAAATCGGAAAAAAATTAGAGAGGTTACTTTTGGATAAAGATCGATGAAATAATTAAAAAATTGCAATTTTTTAAAATTACGAGCATTTTCTATAAGTAATTTATAAACAACCAATTTTCCATTCTAAAAATTATTTTTTCGGAATCGTAGCGAATTTATTCAGATTTAGAATTTCAACAGAAATCGATTTCATGGCTGAAAAAAATAAGGTTTCCGAAAGTTTAAATAATTTCAACTTGCACAGAATTATTGTTTATTTAAACAGTCTTTGTTTGTAAATAATTAATAATTCTGTGCAAAATGTAATTTGAATGGTGCTGATTATTCATGATTTTTTTTAATTGACAAATTTGATGACCAAAAAGGGTTGAATTTATCGTGTGGTCTGTACCAAACTGTAAAATCTACTTGGATATCCTTAAATAGTTTTTTGAAATAGTTGCTTAAATTGTTTAAAAGTGTTTTAATGTCTCAAATTAAGACGTCTTAAAGCCACGAGTTTTCGCAGTGCATTCACAAAAGTTCCAGAAATTTGTCCCCCACTCATGATGTCTTTGTCCATTTCCGGAAAAATTCCCCGATTTTCACATCACCTCAGAGAATCCTTCCTTCAGACCATTCACTGGGAATTCGCATCGAGTGGGAAATGAGGAGAATACGAAGAGATAAAGAAACCGCCCGAGCAATTTCTTTGAATGACGAGTATACCCGGATACACTTCACCCTTATGTGAGTTTGGATCACCGAGAGAGCTCAAAGCCCTCCCGATGTTCATAGTAATTCAGGTGGTCGAAGTGCAGCTGAACAGAAACTGTACACGTCCCTGATATTCACGGGAAACTGAAAGAACTTGCCTATATCTTTGGGATTAAAGTTTTGTCAAAGTCGGGAGAAGAAACGTACGAAGTAGAACAGT